GATATCCGGTCTATATCCAGATATCCGGTCTATATCCAGATATCCGGTCTATATCCAGATATCCGGTCTATATCCGGTCTATATCCAGATATCTGGTCTATATCTGTTACACAGCAGGGCCTCATGCTGCCCACAGTAGCATCGCCATAATGTAGATGCGGTTTAAATAGAGTAAATGATTAAAGGAGCGCCGCTCACATATTTACACAACTTAAGATTTAGATAATAAAATTCAACCAAATATGATCCTAGGAATTGAATATCTACAGTTATATTTTCTAAATGTTTCTTTCCTGTTTAAACAGAATAGTATAAAATACTTTCATTTGTATTAAAGGAGAATTTATAAACCGATCATCAGCCGCGGCTTATTCTGCGGTGCAGATAAACATGCATCATCTGCAAAAAAAATCTTATAAAGAATATTGGTAAAGTTTTCAGTAAGTGGTCCCAAGATGGACCCCTGAGGGACTCCTGCTGCCCTCGGTTCAACAGGTAGCTTCAGACCGACCAGGTGTTTCCTCTGACACCAGAACTGACCAATGAAATTTAAAGGTGAATCCAGGAAGTCACCATCCTCCCCTTTATCTATGGCAGGTGGTTCTACCTGAAGCCGTTCAATCTGTCCGGATAGCTACTCAGTCTATTATAGACCCCCCCCCCCCAAACACCTTTAGGAACGCGGATAAAATAGAAAGAGGACGATCAATTTTAAAGTAATTTTTATCCTCAAATTTGAAAACTGGTAGAATTTTAGCAATTTGCTGTTGGTACTAAGCCATGAGCTACAGAGAGAGATTTATACAATAAACAACTGGATCTACTATTTTACTAAACATATTTAATAATTTTACTCCAGATATCTGCACCAACAGTAGAAGAACTTCTCAGAATCATTTGAGAAACTTCTGTTCCATCAGTTGGTGTTAGTAAAGCTGAGCTTAGCTAGTTTCCTTTCAGGTAGGCTTGCTGATCAGCTCCACCTGCTGGTTTGTTTTTTTAAAGCGCCTCACTAATAGAAATGAATATTAAAACTGTTGCTGATGTTAGTGATTCAGCTGATTGCATGACGCCCTCAGCAGCGAGGGCTGCGGAACGTCGGCGCTTCAGGGTCCGATATGAAATGTAGAGATCCTGGAAGGGAAGATGGTGGCGGAAGAACTCGCTCTCTATGATCACATGTTCATCATGTGGGACTCTGGAGCTGCTTCGCTCATTCCTTCATATTAATCAGGTGTATGGAGGCGAGGAGAACTCTGAAACAGCAGGGCTCTGGTACCTTAGAACAGCTGCCTTAAAGAAAACACTCGTCTGTTTCTACATGTTGGCCATGAACACCTGCCCAGACACACCTGGTGTCCAACCAAGTCCTTAAAGGATCAACGGGTAACTTTTACCAAAATGTCCTGAGTTCAGATTGTCCATCATTTGGTTCCTTCAGCTCAAGCAGGCGCCGTCGCCTGAAAAGTCGCTTTGCAAACAGGTTTTAACTCGGTCCATGTTGTATCTGTGCTGAAACATCCTAAAGCTGATGACCTCGTTCAGGACTACAAACCTCCAGACTCGTCCAACCGGGTCCACAGCCGCCTGCTTGACGCATCCACCAGGTCTGACGTCCTTTTTAGCATCTACGCCCCTCCGGGCGCCGTCCATTCGGAAAGAATTTGTGAACGGAGCACCGAGGAAAATTTGTAACTAGATCCACCCAGAAGAACACGGCGAGCAGCAGCACCTGCTGGCAACGCTTCGCAAATGGAAACTTTCGCTCATCGATGTCACCGCAACCAACAGGTTGTGAATAACCTGCAGGAAACGAACGACTGTCCCTGTTGGACGACACGCAAAGATGTAAACGCCCGTTTTCTTACTCTACATTCAAACTTTGCTTAAAAACTGAATCCAGTTTTGTCTACAAATAGGTTCTCATTCAGTCGTCGAGACCGGATCCAACTGGTTCAGAACCAGTCCAAACGCCAACATCCAACCGGTCAGAACCTCCATCTATTAGGGCTGGCCCCTACAGAACCATGGAGTCCAGGTCTCTGATCCTCCACAGCCGGCAGAAATGAAACAGCCACTAAGTTAGAGCCAATCTTTGAGCGAACTGCTTCCTAAAGTCAAGCTGATCGAATGTTTTTCTGTTTAACTCAGGAAGACGCAGGATGTTCTGGTTAGCATGGTGCAGCCGGAGAGAAGCCAGGGGAATCTGCTCCTACCAGGGACTTACCGTTCTCGTAACTCGGATTACTCTCTGTGAAAGAAAGAGGAAAAACTGACTGACAGTCTGGAACATTAACACCAGGAAGATGTGAGAACTCGTTAGGACAGCCCACCAGTCTCTGTTGGTGTGTAGGGCCGGAGTCTCCGCTCAGAACCACGGTCAGCAGCATTTGGGCTGAGATAAACACAAAGGAAATTAAATTAAGATCTAACTAATACACTTTTTGCAACAATAAAAGCCTGAAATATCAGTTTCCATCTTAGATTCCAAAACCATATCTGGAGATTAATGTGAGGTTCTGGCAGAAAAAACTGGGTTTAGTTTGAAGAGACTCACTGCGGCATCAGGCTGCTGGGAGAATGGATGGGGACATGGTTGGTGACGGACTGGGCTGAAAATCAGAGAGAGATGATGTCATCAGCTGATGGATGGATGGATGGATGGAGGATGGATGGATGGATGGATGGATGGATGGATGAATGATGGATGGATGAATGAT